ATGTGGTGAGCACCTTACAAGGTTACATTTAAACGATGGTAAGGCTCTATATAGTAAGGCATGTAGTAGTTCACTTAGAGCTGACCATGGTGCTGATTTACCTTACCTGTGTTTCTCTCTTGTTCGATGTACATCAGCATCTTCATTTACGGATGATTTTGTAGACGTGGACCACCATGGATCTAGAGATGTATAAAATATATGTGGTGAGCACCTTACAAGGTTACATTTAAAATTGTTACCATCAAATGTGACTGCATTTTCACATCACAAATCCCTCAGTCACGCGATCACATCCATCAACCAAGACACGACAGCTCAGATATTTTAATATGCTGCATTTAATTTGAACCCAATTTATATTCATGAAAGAAACAATTTTTATAATCTTAAAAATAATAATAACCTGATAGTTGTTATTATTATTTTTTAAATAATACCAATAACCAATTACTAAACATTTCAGGGTGCAGTATAGAAGGAGATATCGAGCAAATTTGGTGTAAATAATAAGTAAGGAAAGAGAAAAATAGAGAGGCATTTTCTGCTAATGAAATTCAATACACGTAGAGATATTACTTTTGTACAGCAGTAAAGGTGACAGAACTAGGCCTAAAACTGATTACTGTGCATTAGAAGCATCTGTCTGTGATCAGCTGGTTTGGTCACACATCACAGCATGTAGGTGATGAAATGTACTAAGAGGTCAAACAAAAACATGTTCGTTTGCTTAATCTTGCAAAGTTATTAAATATGAAATTAAAGCTCAGCAGAATTATTTTTTCTATTTTTGCAAACTCAGAACTTCATTTCTACATCTGGAGGTTCCAAAACTAACAGAAGTTTATAAGAAGAAGAGTTTTTCTTAGAATATTTAGTGAGCAGTTTTCTAATATTTCTAATCCACAAGCAGACACTTGTGGATTAGTTTCAAATTTCAAAGCTGAAGGCTTGAACTATCCTATCTGTATATAAAATCCATGATCTCAGACAGATGTCCTTTTCTAAATTCATCATTGTTCATATGTTTTCTCTGTGATTTACTACATTAAACACACCAAACCAGATAAATACAGAAAGACCTCTTGTTTTTCTTTTCTTCACATGCATAATTACCTATGATGACAACGATGCCCTGACCTTCTGTGAGCCATTATCTGCCTGCTAAATTAGACAGATTATACAGCTATAAAATGATACAGTATGGGCAACGTTGAGAAAGTGTAATAATATACTTAATTTAGACCAAAGCCTTCAATTACTTCACAGTGCTTTAACAGAGCCTGATCACAGTCGTGGGCTTTAATTAATGCTGCAAAAATACATACCATGTGTGTAACATGGGAGAACGTTCAAGTACTGTGATGTTACAGAATACTGCATACATTCAACAGCCTATACTGCTCTACTTTTGCAGCATGTTGCTTAAAATCAGATTTTTATAGATGTCTACATTAAAATCTAATTTAATGTACTTTGTAACTACTAATAGTTCTAAGACAGTGGTTCTCAAACTTTAGTACGTGTACCACTAGTGGTACGCGAGCGCTCTCTAGAAGTACGTGGGGGAAATTCATATTTTCACATTTACATTTTCAATTGAATAAATCTGAAACATACCATGTACAATTAATACAACATTTAAACACAAACATCTTTATAAACATTTCTAAACGTTTCTCCTGTGTGGTGGAAGCTAACAGGGAAGGCCTATGCTGCTATATTCTAATGCTGGTCATCATGGTGGTAGTCAATGTTTTCTCAGGTGGTACAGAGTACAAAAAGTTTGAAAACCACTGTTCCAAGAAATAGAGGAAAATGGAAAAATAATTTTGAAGATATTTTTTCCAACTGAAAGATAGAACTGCATTAACGACTCTAAGGCCGAGACCTTTAAACCTACAGCTTACTGTGTAGAGAGAGGCAACAGTTGGAGTTTTACCTTAAATTAAATGGGCATCCCTCTCTGGAAAGTGATACTATCAGCAGTCTCTCCTTGTTTCACTTCTCAGCAAATAATTTCATGTCTTCATTCTCTGGGTTGTGTTACTTTTACAATTTTACATTTTTCCTCATCTTTTTCTTCTTGTCACCCTTCCATTGAACGGTCTTTAAGACACATGGTGTGTCTCATAGCTTGTGAAACCAAGACGTTTCCTGGAGCATGAAGCCTGTGTGCACCAAGGTGCAGATAACCACGGCCATCACTAACTGTCCCTTTACTGTGACAATGTGTACCTGACCTTTCTCCTTTCCCTCAGTATCTTTAATCCATCTCTTCTCCCTCTGTTCCTGTATTAAAATCTCCACCAGCCACTTTTCACAGTCTAATCCAGTAATAACATACAGCTCATTAATAAGGCAAGGTAAAAATATTGGATTAGGAAAAGATTAAAGACGATTAAAGCTGCATAATGAGGACTAATCTGGTGCTCGCCTCCGTTCCACTCTAATCCGTGTGTGTGTGTGTTTGCCTTTGCCTCTCCTGGCAGTGGCTGAGTCATCTGCCTTGAGCTACAGCTGCTTAAATATACATGAGATGTTGGTTTACAAAAATTAAGAAGATCTGTCGGAAAATAGGCATGGGAGGTGTTTAAAGAGGGAGGTGTGAGTGTGTATGTGTGTGTGTGTGTGTGTATGGTTTAAATCCAACCAGGAGTGAAATATTATTCATTACACACAGGAACACACAAAACTCACAGTTTAGAGCCTGGGAAAGATTACATTATAGTTGAAGAAAATCACCTCAGTCATACTGCCATGACGTAATGTGACGGTGAAGTGCTCAAAGAGACACACACACACCACACTCACACACACTGTCCTTGACCCAGGCAAGAAGAGGGAGAAGGTCAATTACAATCATCTAAGGATCCTCTGAGGCCTCCTGGTTTCCGGAACAGCTCCTTAGGGAGGCCCACTCCTTCACCATACGTTAGGTCCTCCCTCCGTCCTCCGTTGTTTTCAAAGGTCCCCTTTAAAATGAAGGTACATACATCAGTTTCAGCCTGTGGGTAGTCGACATAAAGTAATTAATATAGAATTAGTAATTACTGCACGCGTGAGGCCATAGGATTGATAAACTACTACAGTATATGTGGTTCATGTACATTAGTGCACATAACGTAACACAAAACTGAAGCTACTCTGTTGATAAACAAAAGATCAGATTAACTATAAAATGAAATGAAGACACTTATTCATCCTATAATGGAAAAATTCAGAGTGTAAACTTCTGCAACCCCCACAGGCAATAATAGGTATGACATCCCTCTGGGACTTAAACCCACAACCTTCTGCTTGCAAAGCAGTCATGACAGCCACCATATTATGGAGCCTCAATGTCTGAATGTCTTTTGACAAATTATATTGAATTATATTACAATAGTTAAGTTGTTGACTAATAGTCTTTGTAATTTTACTCCTACAGGAAACTACAGGAACTTGTTTTATTGTTATTGCACATTCAACACTCGGTGTTAAATTAATTTGGATCCAAAAAAAAAAAAAAAGACAGCAAAGTTGGTAGTGATGCTAATGTTCTTGGTACAAATAGGTGTAGCGACAAAATGTGTTAATAGCTGGGGAGAGACAGAGTTGTTAATTTGGATCAAATAAACGGAAGAAGATTTAAGGTGTGCAGCAGGTTATGGTGGTAAAGGACAGACTAAATAAACCAAAGAAATGTTGTGAGTCAGTTGAGTGTGCAACAGAAACAAATGAAGACCTTGAAGTAAATTAATTAACTAAATACAGGTGGAAAAAAATGTTTTTTGTTCAGCAACAAATTGGTACTTTTAAATAGTAATAGCTGTTTCTGTCAATGAATAGTAGCTGTGATTAATCATGATCAATCGGATTAAAAAACTGATTATCTTAGCTATTGTTATCGATAACAAAATATCATTGATCTTCCATCTTACTTCACAGAACAGCAACGCATCTCTGGTCTTTTTCAGACAACGTTACACAATCTAGAGTAATTCAAAGTCTTGTGCTTCCAACCAGTGCATCGTCCTAATGAACCACAGATTTTTCTCAAACGAGTCTTCTTTTAAATCCATATTAAATGGTTACAACCACATCTTTAATTGTGTCTTTCTCTGCTTTTTTTGTTGCTGTTTTCCAAATTTTCCTTATTCCTGTTTGATTTGTTTGTTTGAATATTTTCATATTATCAAGAGTTTGTCAACCTTTCCTGCTTTTTATAAAAACTGAACTTACATTTGTAGCAACACTGTCTGTGCTGCTACAAATGAAAATGCAGTGCACTTAGTATTTTAGATGTTTTTTTGAAGAATAGATAATGCATTGGAATACAGATAAATCCTTTGACTAGGCTTCTGTGAAGGTTGCTGTTACAAAGAAAGAAAATGTGTCAGGTTGTTGTGGTCAAATTTCTTTTTAATAATTGAAGAGAAAGCTCATGTTTTTGGAGCCATGATTTCAAACGGTGATGTGTGCGATCAATGGAGGGCTTTGTTTTTACTGCTGCGCTATTCACTGCAGACACAGCTCCCTCTCAACCACTCTGAAAATGCACTTGTCTTTTTTATATCATATAATTGAGCTTTTTCTTCAGCCAGGCATTACTTTTCTCTTTTTATTTCTCAACCTTTACCTTCTCTTTCTGCACTACCCTCCTCCAACTTGTCTTTTTCTCCCTCGTACACTTTTGCTTCACACTCCCAGAGTCCCAGTTCCCCATTTCCCTTCCAATCACAGACTCCCAGAGGATTTGAGACCCTTCTCTAGCCATTCTTTACACACACACACACACACACAATCCAGATTCATTCTTACACAACAGACACAAACAAAAACCCCTCTGCTTCATCTCGTAATTACCTCCAACCGCCTCACTCCCCACCCCCAGATTTGTCTTATTCCTACAAGTGAACATTTTTTCACACACAATAAAATAAAATAGAATTGCAACGTTTTTCTCACCAGAACCTTCTGGCCCCTTTGTGAAGAAAAGACAAACTGATGAATGTGGTCGGGTCAGATGTGGATGAGAGGAGAGCAATTAAAATTGTCTCTGCGTTTCTTTTCCTCCCCAGATCCACAAGGGAAAAAGGGCAGACAGAGATTGTGTCTGGCATGAAAAAAGGAAATCGTTTCATCTCAATCAGAGAAACCTATTTTGAAGACAAAAGATTCACATGCTCCGAGTCAAGGACATTTATGAATATTGGGGTCGAAAAATATTGGCACCCACCAATTATATTCAGTAAATTCCTATGAAGATAACACAACAGAATGCTGTTACAACACACAATTACACAGTTTACACATTTTATATTCTTGTTTTTCTGCTTCAATTTTTCAATTCATTTTTTTATTAATTTCATCTTTTTGGAGGCAGCTGTTGTTGACCAGTGGATACAGGAGGCTGTCTCTCAACTTTTGTACATCTGTAGTTAATTTCTAACTGTTGTTGCTGTGTCCCTAGGCAACGGGTCTGAACCTAAGTAGCTCAAAATACCCAGAAAATGTGTTTTTAGCATTGCATGGTCATCATTGTTAATTACCATCTTCATGCCTGGGACAGTTTGAGCAGGGGACTAATCTGAAACTTGTTTATTTGTTCATATTTCCTAAAAAAAGCAACAGAATCACAATGCGTTTTGTTGCTGGCATACAGACTCAACTGTATGCCTCTTTAAGACGAGAGCATAGCGTAATTTTTAAATTATGTATTTATATTTGTAAAAGAGATCTTGAAAAACAGAGACCAGAGTTTGTCTGATTGAAATGAAAAATAAAACAGAAATTGAGAAACTGGACTTACAAATAATCAAAGCATCTAAAGCACATATAAAGAATCTACCGTACTGTACTGTATGTGAGGAAAGACTATTTGAGAAGGAACTCTTTCCAAAGGCGTTGCTGCATCTCATTTTCTAAGAATAGAAGTAAAAGCCATATTTTCTGCAACGGTGAATAGTAAAACTGAATGAAGGGAACACATTCTCAAAGTTGGAAAACAAAAACCATTTGTGAACAATCACTATGTAAATAGTTTTCTAAGTGAATATAGCTTTCATTCAAGCACGTCTTATGAGATAAACAAACCATGTGTATTTACATGCAAGGATACTCCGCATTTTTTTAAATCACTAAATGCAGCCTTTTCTTAGAGAAGGCTTCTCTGGCCCATCCAATCATTTTCAAACTCTGCAATCAGTGCAATCAGCCATGACCAGGGCAAACACACAACAACAAACAGTGTTAAAATGATTGGTTTCCAGACATTCAGTGTCCTGCAGAGATACTCTATCTTCACCAAATCAGCTTTTTAGACATTGAGCACTGCTTGATTTTTGTCTCGGGCAAAGGCAAAGTTTCTGTGGATATTGTAAGGGTTCATGCACAGTAAGGGTTCATGCACATGGCCTTTAAAAGAAATGTTCTGTGTTTATCGACATGTTTACTTGAACAGAATAACAACCATTCAGTGCTGCATTACCAACTAGAATGACAAAAACACAGAAACTGTATATATATTAATATAAGGTATTTAAGTTACATGTTTTTAAAGGGGTGTTTAACAAGGGTCAGGTGTCTACCTCTAACCTTTGTAACTGTGGCCACAGGTAATTTAAATCCACTGGTGAATCAGTTCCGTCAACCTAGTGTTTTTAACCAGATACTTTTTGACTTAACAGCATTTATGTTGAATGTCTTGCTATTCCAGAGGCAAAAAGTCACACTGCCCTTCTTCATGTTGCATACCATGCTCTTTCTCCCCCTTTGTCTCCCCCCTCTGACTCTCTCTACCCCCAGAATAAAAAGCCCACCCTCCTCCCAGTGGGGGCTCGGTGCCATGCGGTGATGAATAGTCAGATGTGAGGCAGGAGGACGCACAATGTAGGTCGAGCTCCAGGGGTTGTCATCTACTTGTGTGTGTCTGTGTGTATGCGTAGGGAGACTCTTGGGGGTGGGGTGAGGGTTTGTGGGTGCATGCTGTTCTCCAAAGAAGGCTGGTGGAGGGGGGGCAGGGGCGTGGGGGGTGCATATGTTCTACATTATGATGTATGGGGGTGTCTGTTCTCCCCTACACACCTGCTCCGGATGCCTTTTCTGTCTCTGGGTCACACACACCAACTCACACACACATAGTCAACACACACACACGCGCACACACATGCACGTACCTATGGACATGTTATGGTTAATCAACTCATTTGTTATTGTGCACTGAGATTAGCGAGTGAACACGTGCATGATGATGAACCGCCCTGCAGCGACGCAGCAACCTTGTCCTGCTGGACCACAAAGTCAACGCAGGAAGAAGAAATTTAACTCATAAGTGACGCTGAGGTGAACGTCAGTGACTGTATGGGTCGGAGGGAAGTGAGACACGGGACAGGATTCTGTTTTATAGTTTAAATGACAATCAGTTTTTGTTCAAACTAGAAAAACTTCTGACTCTTGTTGACCAAAGATGTTATAAAAAAACAACTAAAATATCGTAAGGTAACACAGAGTATCGTATCATCACTTTATAAGCAACAGTGCAGTTTTACCTGTGCCCTCAAATCTTCTGATACATAGACCTACAGTGAATAACATAAAAATATTGTCTGTGCTGACCAAAGCACTTCAGGTCTGCACCATTTTTCTCCAGACTAATGCAACATGTGCATTTTTCCAGAGGCGACTGTGTCCCAGACCATAGATCATCCAGTGGGAGGCACAGACACAGACACAGGGTGAATTTTGCTCGCCAAATCCAAGTGTGAATTCAACGGCCGAGTATTTTTTTGTGGGACAATTGGTGAAGATACTTCGTACTTAATCAAATCCTCTGTTTTCTAATGCCACCTGGAATATATAAATATAAATATCCCAAATTCCTGTTTTAAGCTCTAAAGCTACAGTACTCAGGACATCTGTGCTCTGCATGGATCAGGTGACTATTTCTAAAGCTGGCTCTTGTGCAGATCTTTATTTCATTCAGAGCTTAACCCTCTTCTACAGTGGACATAGATCACCCTGCATTCAGCAAATACTTTTTCACTACGTATTTCACTTCAGCCAACAAAACCCACTGTGATTTCTCTTATTCTTTCAGTTATTTCATGTTTTGTTTTACTCTGATTCACTTTAGGGCAGTTTGTCCTACTTTTAAGAGCAGGTCTCTCTTTCTCTACCCCTCCCTCCCTCCCTCCCTCTCTCTCTCTCTCTCTTCCCTGTCCCCTCTTTCTCCGTCTCATCACTCCCTTTTCACAGAACAACTCTGCAGCAGTGAAGCAGCAGGGAGACGCTCTCCTCCCTGCTTTTTCATCTTCCCTTCAACTGTCTCTCTTGAACAACAACCTCAATCTGTCCTTCTCTGTTAGCCATCATCTGCATCACGATTCACTGTACGAGGAGAAGACTGAAGTGGGCCTTGTTCTCATAGGTGGCTTCTCTGGGTCACATGAATGCTGCAGGGGCAGCATCCAGGGGAATCTGACAATTAAAATACTTAGAATTCCTTAGGTATAGATTTTTTTTTTAAATAATTGAAAAACTTTGGCCAAAATAGAAAGGCAAAAACTCCTGAAAAGTTGACAACTTCAATTTGATCACAGTTTTCTTTAAAAATGAAAATAAAAGAAAATAAAACAACAAAAACAACAGTGTTTTTTTTTCTAAATAAACTTAACTCTATTGGCTAAACATAACATTCCACATATGGAATAGTGGTTTTCTAGTGTAGCAGTTAGCATGCCTGCCTGAGAAACATAGGTAGTCCTAGGTTTGATTCCCAGAGGAACCCTGTTGCAGTAGATCTGCCGTTAACACAAGCATTTCCACAAGTGTGGGATAAATGGAGGTTTAAGGAATGGACAAAAAAAGTTGTCGCAGAGGTTGAGATAGTTCATACACTCCTGTCATTCACAACTACAAAAAACAGTTAATAACGTATGAGTATGAGACAACTATTCAGTAAGGTTGACTCTGGGGTCATTATATTTCTACACCATTTACAGAAGATTAAAAACATTAAACATTAAAGACATTCTGACTACATTCTGTGTTACAGGTGTGAGAATCTCACCTTTATATGGTGCTTGGGGTTTGAGGGTTCGGTCACCGTCCATGAACAATATCTGAACTGCTGTTGTCTGACTACGGCCACTGCTGCAAGATATTCAGAAAGACATTTGGTTCAGCTTAAATGGCAGATTTCCATAAAACATATTAAGATATTCATGACAATTTCAAGAAACCTTCTCCTTATTTGTCTGACATAAAAAACCTGCTGTAAAGTTGACCAATACACAGTCCAAGTAATATTACTTTGCTTAAGATTCTTCCACAAGCTTAAAAAACCAGACATGTCTCATCAGGTTAGCCAGGTGCCTCCTAATTTGCAGATTGTTTGACATCTTTATAAAGTGTTTTCTTGTTTCAAAAGTTTGAGAGGCACTGCCGTTTACAATAGCATTGGTATTGGAGTGTATCCGTGCATGTCTGGGTGTATGTGCGTGATACGTCTTCAGAAGCAGTCGAGAGACTCTCAGCCACTGTGTCTATGTGAGTGTGTGTGTGTGTGTGTGTGTGTGTGTGTAACTCAGTATCAGTGCCTATGACGGCCTCACTACAGCTGAACAAAACAAACCGGCGGCGAGCGGATCTGCGCTATCATCCCAGAGCAGGCCCCCGCTCTCTGTCTCCTCGCTCCGTTACCTGTTGGTCCTCATATAATTACGGCGGCCACCCTCATCCATCATCATATTGTTGTGGTGTTCACAGGCCCTATTCTCTCTGTGGCCCAGCAACATTACATAAAGGAACAATAACAGACTAAACAAGCACCATCCAACACAAGAGATGGGGGTTTGTGGAGGGGGTGGTGGTGGTGAAGAGGGGTGAAGAGAGAGGAGAGGGTCAAGAGGAAAACACACACATACACCAACATTTTTCTCATATCTATTTGGCTTAAAGTATGCAGTGACAAGCTGAAACAAGACATATTAAAAACAGACTCTCTTCTAAATATATGATGCAGGGCAGGGTCTGATCACAAAAGACGATTGATTTTTTCAATCAGTGTAACCTACATGAAGGGCAGATATTGTGAGGCTGAGAGCAAAAACTTTTCTTACTTCTTCAGTTGACTTCAAGAAAAAGCTGAGGTGAAATCACGGTTGTGTAAATCTGTGACGACTCATTTCAGAAGACGGTTAAAATATTTGAAAAGTATCTCTGTCTCCTACTCTTCCTTGCTTTCTATCTTAATTATTCCTTCTTATTATTATTTCCTCCTGGTACTTAATTATTGTCACCATTGTTATGGTACTGGAACAGACACACAATCATTGTCTTCCTGAAGTGTAACCTGTTGGGCAGTACTTGGTTTTATCTATATCTGAGATTGTTACAGCCCGTTATTTACACCTGGCAAGAGTTAGGTGCCAATGGTGTTGCAGCAGATCTGCTGTTAACAAAATAATTTCCCAAATATGGGATCAATAAAGTTGCATGTATAATCTTAAGAGAGCATGAGGGAAAAAGAAGCTAAGTATTTGGACTGTGTGTCATGTTTCTATCCCCAACTTTTACTCACACATTGCTTCAGTACAGTGATTTAAAAATGCTGTTTGTGTCCTGGGATCTACCCCAATTAAGTCTGTTGATAACATTTTTTTCTTTTTTCTTACAACACATGCTGTAATTAAAAACTGCATCGTTCTTTAACTAACGTGAAAAAGGTCAAAACAAGGGGAAAGCCAAAATATTAAATCATAAAATAATCATTAAATGTTATTCAATGTTTCATCTTTTTGATTTTCAGATCTCCATCATATTCATTCCGAACGACAAAACTAAAGAAAACAATCTTATAATATATATAAAAGCTAAAAGGCTATTCATGCTAAATTGAAAAAATATATATATTTCAGTTGTCAGTTATTGTTAATAATAAATAAATGCTGGTGGGTCAATGTTTAATCTATATTTTATATTATTTTTGGAGAAATAACTGAATATTCTACCCATAATACTTTTAAATACAGACACTTGTAAGGAAGAGTCCTGATAATTGTACAATCTTGGAGGCTCTCTACTGTAATAAGGAAATACAAGAAAATAACACAGCAGATTAAGCACAATCACAGAAATCAACATGCGGCTGTTTGCCTGCTACAAAAATCTTTTTTTTTTTTAATTAAGGTTGTAATTTAGAACCAATTAAGTGAACAATACAATATTCACATCATATTTTGAAAGACAAATAAGTGTCATTAACATGTGATGTCATCCACCTTGGTTGAGTTAAACATTAAAACCATGTACTGCCAACAACTGAGTTGTCCATGGTAAGATCTACTTGTGACTTTTATTTGCACCCTAAATTTTTGCAGTATAAGAATATTGTAGTATTAACCTAACAGTGATGCCAGTGAGCCATTGTGGATAAAAAAAAGCCATCTATGCTTGTGAGTCAGAGTTGTAAAAATATAGCAAATATAGCCAGCTTGTAGAGAACAGCAGCATACACGACTCAGCACCTGGGAAACAGTGAATGACACAATAGATTATTGCAGCATGCCAGCTCTCGCTTGTTTTTTCCTCCTCACTTCACTCCTGCCCTGCGGCCTCTGCGTCTGAAAAAAAAACCCCACCATTTCCTACAACTTCCCTACAAATTATCACCACTCTGCATGTGATAATCTCTCAGACCCAACAGTGCAAGGTTATGTTTTACAGGTGCGAGTGCTGTTCTATTTACTAAACGTCTCTGAGCAAAACTGCAGCAGCAGGCAGGTCAGGTAGCCTCGCAGACAGAGAAACTTCGAGTTGAATCCAAGTTAAAACGGAGCTGCTGCTGTGCAGAGTGCAGGAGTTTACGCCGCCTTAACTCTGCCTACACTTATGGAAACATAGCATCTTGCCTGGAGACCTGGCTGCGAAACACCTGAATATCATCAAGGTAAAATTTTGCTGGGACAAGGGTTTGCTGGTTTCTCTGCTGAAACGGCAGCTGTCTTTTGTGAAACTGGCCTAGATAGACCAGATGAAGATGAAAAGGAAGAAGAATAGGAAGGTCAAGATGAAGAAGAGGAAGACTAAGAAGAAGAAGAATAGGAAGACTTAGAAGTAGGAAAGTAGAAGTATAGGAAGATTAGGAAGAAGAAAAGGGAGAATAATTTAACCATAAGGAAGAAGAAGGAGAGGAACAGAAAGACTAAGAGAACTCTCAGGGGTAGACTGGATTACAGTGGTTGTTTGTGAGTATGTCCAGGGACATAGGAATACAACCAGCAGTGTAATCTGCTGGTTGTATTCCTATGGTTAGTAATATTCGTCATTTGTATTGTGTTAACCTGTCTGTTTTCCACTAAACGTGGTCCGAACTAACACTTTGTTTTATACTAGAACAACAATAGTGCATGGATGGTGGAATTACTACTATGCAGTGCAGGTCATTCTGCCTCCATTGAAATTTTTAATCTGATTAATTTCACATACATCCCAAGTTTTAATTAAATAATTTAGGAAGTTCTCTGTGTGTTTTCTCTTATACCTATCTGTAATAAAGCTATTTCTGATCTACATCCTGTGCATACAAAAAAACTGTATTACATCTTAGCAGAGGTCAGACAAAGTGACATCGGAAATTAAACTTACATTTAGCGCTATGTTCTAAATGCGTGTCACTGCCGCAGAGCAATTTCACTTCAGTGTTTTTGGAGACTGTTTCTAAACAAACAAACATAGCTGTCACAATCTGACATGAACTACAGATTTAAACCCACAGGAACGTGTGCAAAACATTCATTTGACAGGAACTTTTTTTTTTTTTTTTGCCCCAGCTGTGTTGAAAGCCCTTTCACGTCAGTGTGATGTTCCAGACATAATTAACATTTTCTGTTTCCCACGTACAAAACGCCTTCACACACGGCAGTGTGCGTGCTCTTTATCCACCAACCTTTCATTCAATTGAATGTGATTTGAACCTGTAAATATGTTGCTACTATTACCATCCATCAAGTAGTTAATCAACAGTTGGTTTGACAGGAGGACAGATCGAGCAAAAGGGGCTGATGTCAGACTCAACAAACAGCCAGCACTTTCTTTTCAAACATGCCGTCATTCATCCCCTGCAGAGTGGATATGCACATGCTTTGACTAATGGTACTCTGGAATGCTGGTGCTAAACCTTGCGTGCATCCTGAATCTCAACTGTAATGACAAAAGTGTCCAATAGTTACACATCCCTGAGACAGAAATGGGCTGTTGGTGACAGTTTGATTGCATGGGTTTCTCATCTCACTGGCCTTTACTCTAGGTGTACACCATCAATTCAGCCTGGCAGGAATGAAGGCTATTCTGAAGGGGCTGTGAATACAGATGGAACTTGACTCAGTGTGATTATAAGAGAACCAGAGCATGGGAAAAAAAAATCATGCTGATAAACGATAAGCGATGAACATCATTGTAATTGTGTCAGAGCAGGAAAACAGACGCTCGGCAGTTTCTTTTGTCTGCACCACGCATCCAATTTCTCTGGTTTTATGTGGCACCAGCAAAAATAAAAACATGCCATTATTGTATCGTAAATGTGCCTTGCTTAATTTTCAATCTGACCTATTCGCAGTTCACATTACTTACAGTCCCTGGTAACCACTTGCAAGCATATTTACATCAACCACAACAAGGTTGTCTTTGGAAAATAATCTGTCCGCATTTCAGAGGATTCTTCCTAATGTGCATCTCATTTCAATCTGTTCAATTAAATGATTTCAGAGGAGGTTGGTGGTGGTGTTCTGCTATGTGAATCACATGTTTTCAATTTGTGGGTATTGTAATTCAGGTTTAAACATTTTAATTCATGCTCAATAATAAATGTGAAGCAAAACCTTGCTCCACAGGTGGAGCTGAAATGAAGTAAACATTTTTCACTAAAATACAGAATTCCCTTCACATATTCAATTTAGGGGCAGGAATTTGCTGTTCTACATCAGCAGTCTCTACAATTACTGAACTGTATTTAAAGATCATTACAGGGATCAAAGGTAGTCCTGTATCCCATAGTTATTTCTTGGTCCATCAAATCTTTATTTCATCTGATCAAACTAATGATAGGGATTTTGTTTATTTTTTAAAGAGATAATTCTCATGACTCTGTTCCC